TCTACAAATTCCTCATTTCTCCCTGCTCAGGAGTACCCCGGGGGAATAAGAGGGAGCTGGTCTCCCTCAGGGGTCCTTCCTTAAGCCTGTACTATCTGACTAGTTACCTAACCAGAATTGATAACTCGAGAAAAAGCTGCTTGTGGGAGTTGTTCAAAAGTGTGTGTGTCTTTCTGCGAATCTAAAGGAACATTTTGGTATTCCCTGGCTAGCAAAGGTGGGGTACTTTTTGAAGCCTGAGACCTGAAGTTGCAGGGGAAGAATCAGTTGCAGAGCCAGCCATTACCATTCGGAACCTCTGGGGATGGTGGGGAGGCTGAGGGTAGAATGAAAACTCCTCAGCTCCTGCTGGAGCTTCTCTGTGAGCTGAACCTGACAGAAGCCAGACACCAAGGAGATGTGTGATCTGAAGCAGAATATGAGACAGGAGTCTTGAGACAAGAGTTAGGGGAGTTGAGGGGTTCAGGGTATGCCAGTAGAGAGTGCTCCTGGAAGGGGAGAGAGTGAGCTGATTACCAGTCTGTAACCTAGGGCCACAGAGACACTCTGGGAAGCAATAGAACATGCTTCTCAGAAATTATTCTGCCAATTATAATTGATAGGGAGTTGGGAATATTTATATCCCTGAAGACTTGGAGAGAGTGTTAATTACTGGACACTTTGACTGACAGACTGCTTTCCTATGGCTCTGGGAAAACCCATAGACACAAAGGTGCTAGCAATTGGAAGTCTGTGAGGCCCTGCAAGGGAGCCCTGATAGTCTTCTCTGGGGCCTAGTGGTGTAGTAAACACAGAAGTCCTTCCACCCTCAAAGCAAGGAGGAAATACAGATCCAAGTTAGGGGCATGTGGAGTTGACAAGTGGAGCTGACAACCGTACTTGAACGTTAGCTAGGCTTCACAGTGATTGTTCCTCTTCATTCCCACAGAAACATCCTCTGCCTGTTCCCTTCGCCGGGCTTTGAACTGTCGAAGCTGCATTGTACTTGTTTGCTGCACATTCTGATGTGTTTTCTGGTGTGCGTTAGCCAGACAGGAAGGAGCCCATTTCATAGAGCAAAAAGCAGAGGCACCAAGAGGAGTACTGACTGACTCAGGAGAAGCCAGTTGGGCACAGGACACTTACGGCCAGCTCTAAGAGTCAGACCTGTAAGCCCAACTACTTGGGAGGGTAAAACAGAGGTCTCCAAGTTCAAGAGCTGCCTGGGCAGCTCAGTGAGGGCCTGTGTTAAAAATGTCAAAAGAGGGGGTGTAGCTCAGTAGTGGAGTGCTTTTTTAGCATGTGGAAGGCTCTGGGTTCAATTTCCATTACTGCAAACCAGCCAACCAACCAACCAACCAACCAGCCAGCCAAAAAACAAGTGCTGTCCCTATAGGCTGGGTGATCCTGGATAAGTTAAATTAAGAAATAAAAAGTTTATATTATATCTTGTTCAGTCTCTCGACTAGTAGGATTATAGGTATGAGCCACCATGCCCTGCTAAGAAGTGTCCTTAAAGCCAGGCATGGTGGCACAGGTCTGTAATCCCATTTCTGTGAGTTTGAGGCCAGCCTGGTCTACAGTAAGTTCCAGGACAACCAGGGCTACACAGTGAAACCCTGTCTCAAAAAACAAAAACAAACACAAACAAAGAAACAAAGAATATTTTATAAAAAAAATAAATAGAAGTCCTTTTATTTTGGTGTCACAGTTTTCTTGAAAAATTAGAAAGGCAAACAGACAATGTGCTGGTAACAGTCTTTCTGCTTTGCTAGCTCTACAACTATATAATTGAACACTTTGAAATTAAGCTATGGGAGTGCTTTCAAGTAATTACACTAATGAGACCATGTGACTATCTCTCCACTTTTAACCTAGAAGATGGAATCTTCCCATTTCCTTTTCAGCATCTTGTTTCCTCTCAAATTCATTTTCCCTCCCTTCCTTCCTAATTGTTAATTGGATGTAGTATTTTAGCCACAATAAAAAGTTTTAGTTAAAGTAAAAATTTCTGCATGCCGCTTTCAGGCAAGAAGCTATGTCTTTTGAGAGTTAGCAAGTCTGTGTTGCTTCTTTGTAGAAGAGGACATTTCGCCCAAGGGTCTGTGGAGCAGAGGAAGTCCAGGATGAAATGGGAAGGGAGGGAGACTCTTGGGAGTTCTAAGACCTGCTCTCTGACCCTGTTGGAAGAATGCTGTTGGAAGGTTCAGCTGTTCAAGGGCCTGCAAGGGGGAACTGCAAGTCTTCCAACTGTCAGGCCCTCCCCCAGTGACACACTTCCTCCAGCACGGATGGCGGCTCCGTCCTGGTTCAGACACGAGTAGTAGAAAAGTCACTAATACAGGGTTAGTGGGACAAGGTGAGTCATCTCTCACAGAAGTTCCTTGAAAGGTACACCCAGGGCTGGAGGGGTGGCTCAGCACTTAAGAGCACAGCACAAGCTTCTCTTCCAGAGGCCCTGGGTCTGATTCCCAGCACCAAACGTCAGCTCACAACCATGTACAGCCCCAGTCCCAGGGGATCTAATGCCCTCTTTTGGTCCTGCAGTCATGTGGTACACCGACAGACGTGCAGCCCCGCCCCCCATAATAAAAACTAATTTTTGAAAAGGTAAACTCAGATTGTAGCGTTCTTAAGACCCTTGAGCCTTAACTTTAAAGGAATTGCGGAGTTGCAGCTTCCTCCAGAGAATATCATCTAATTCAACTTCACATTCTATTCATGGCTAGAGCCTAAAGACTTAGAAAAGGGAAGAGATTTAGTCAGTGTCACAGCAGACTAGGGACAGAGGAGTCAGGTTCAGTACTGTTTAGTGTCATACATTGTACCAGTGTTCTCCCCAGCACTCCATGGTCACAGCAGAATCCCTCTGCCACATCACCAGCTTGTATGACTTCCGTGGCAGGGAAGCCATGGCAGCCCAGGAAAGCCCATTCTGCATTTTCAGGGTGTAGTCCTAGAGTTTTTTCTTCCAGCGATCTGCCCCTCTGGTTCTAATTGTCTCTTTCTGCTCAGAACATACCATACAGGGTTGTTTAGGGTTCAAAAGCTGACCTGACTCCTGCCCACATCTTTAGACCCCGCATCCCATTTCTTTGCAGTTCTATCAGTTCTGTATTGTTTCTTCTTATTGTAAAGGCACTTTGTGTTCTAGACATACCATTAACTGGTCCTGGTTTTCTTCAGGTGGGTGGACAGAGGAGACAAAGAGTGTTTTAGGTAACTTTGTGTGTTAATTTTGCTAGACCACAGTACTCAATATATTGGTTAAACATGTCTAGCTATTGTTGGGAAAGTTATTTCTGAGATGAGATTAAGATTTAAATGGGTTTTAAGTAATCTAGATTACCCTCTTAAGTCTGGTTCTGCCTTAGCCAGTCAGCTCTGGGCCTTAAGGAAAAAGAATCAGGGGGTTCTGCTAACAGATGCCTTTGGATTCCAACGCAACATTAGTTCCTTTTGTGTTTCTGGTCTACTTGGCCTGTCCTGCCAGCCTCCATATTCACGGTAGCCAGTTCTTCAGTTCCTTAAAAGCAACCCCCGACTCCTTTCTCTCTCTTTCTCCCTTCCTAAACACACATCTATCTAACTGATTCCCTGAAGAACTCTGATTTTAATAGGTTTTTTTTTTTTTCCCCCCGAGACAGGGTTTCTCTGTGTAGCTTTGCGCCTTTCCTGGAACTCACTCTGTAGACCAGGCTGGCCTCGAACTCACAGAGATCCACCTGGCTCTGCCTCCCGAGTGCTGGGATTAAAGGCATGCGCCACCACCGCCCGGCATGTAACGTTTTACAGAAGGGAAAACTGAGGCTCGCAGACATTAAGTATGTGGCCATGGCAGTGAGGTAAATGCAGAAGAAGCATTCAAAATCACTTTTCAAAAATTCTGAACCACACCCTCATTTTGCATTTACTTAGAAGTTTTTGACATTTGTGAAGAATGACCTGAGTTCAGAGCAATAGAAACATAACCTTTAGTTATTTTTGCTATTTGGTAGAAATCATCTGTATCTTTCCTGGAAAGAACGGACAAAAATCCACTTGTTCTGCACCCAGCTGTCCACAAGTTAGCAGCTAACTCTACGGGGTTGTCAATTGTCTGACTCTTAATTGACAGTAAATGGTGAACCAAGCAACAGCTGTTTCCTAGAGTCAGGTGGCCTTGATGACATGCTGTACTATGACGTAGATGGGACAGCTGGTTACCCTCTGCTTTACTTCTCAATGTTTTTTCTTATCGGTACACTTCTATAATGACAAACTTCCAAAGTTATTTGTGAGCCAGACCTGGCCGTACATGCCTGTAATCCTAGCACTTGAGAGGTAGTGGTAGGGGGATGAAGAGTTCAAGGACAGTCTTGGTCTCATATGACCCTGTCGCCAATCTTTAAAAATATGATCACAGAGTGCCCTTGAGATGGCTCAGGATATAAAGCACCTGCTGTCAAGTCTGACACCCAAAGTTCAATCCCCAGGACCCACAGAGTGGGAGAGAACTGATTCCTAAAAGCTGCCCTCTGCCTACCTCTGCCTTTGCATGCTTGCTCCTATACACAAACCACATGCACACAGAATGGATTTTTTTTAATTTATTTTAGTTTATTTTGCAATACAATTCAGTTCTACATATCAGCCATGGATTCCCTTGTTCTCCCCCCTCCCGTCCCCCTCACCTTCCCCCGCCCCCCCCATTCCCATCTCCTCCAGGGCAAAGCCTTCCCCACAGACTGAGGTCAACCTGGTACTCAGTCCAGGTAGGTCCAGTCCCCTCCTCCCAGGCCGAGCCAAACAATCCTGCATAGGCCCCAGGTTTCAAACAGCCAACTCATGCAATGAGCACAAGATCTGGTCCCACTGCCTGGATGCCTCCCAAACAGATCAAGCCAATCAACTGTCTCACTCATTCGGAGGGCCTGATCCAGTGGGGACCCCTATGAATGGAAACACAGAATGGATTTTTAAAATACAGTAAAATTGAACCCTACAATAGAAGTGATGAACCCTTTTCCATTATTTTTCAGGTTAAATGGCCAAACTTAGAACTGAATAAAAGAAGAAAGGTGTAAGAAAGCCTGCTGGGCACCAGCATTCCTGTTTCCTGGCTGTGGATGCAGCATGGCTAGCTGCCTGGTGACCCTGCAGCCACAGCTGGAGCTGCTCTTCCTGCCGTGCTTCCCTGCAGGGCTGGATGATACCTTCAAGCAATGAGCCCAAAGGAGCCCTTAGATTGTCAGGTCACAGCAGTAAGAAAAGTAACGAAATCCTAACTATTCACTTCTGTGTTGTGGAAAAACTGACATATTTATAGGAATCAGAGTTGAAGTTTATTAAGGGACATTTTAATATGGTTTTAAGCAGAGGGATTAATAGGATGCAAGAGGGCCGAGGGAAAGAATGAAGCATGTCCAGGAGTCACTTAGTATACTAATTTTTCAAACGTTTACTAAATTGGCCTATGAAGTCATCTGGTCCTGGGCTTTTAACAAATTTATTTATTTTTATGTTTATGTTTGATTGAGTGTGTGTGCCTGGGTGCATGTATTTGCACCAAGTGTGTGCAGGAGCCTGAGGAAGTCAGAAGAGTGATCTCCTGGAACTGGAATTACAGGGGGTTGTGGGCCACCATCTGGGTGCTGGGAACTGAACTTGAGTCCTTGCAAAATCTGTGAGTGCTCTTAGCCAGGGTGATGCCTGTTCTTGGTTGTCAACTTGACTGTGTCAAGAGGCTGGGGACACATGTGAGAGAGTTTTCTTGATTTAATTGTTTGGAGTGGGAAGATCCACCCTAAATCTGGATCTTTTGAGGTGGGACAATCCACCTTAAATCTGGGCCACATCTTCTAGTAGCAGCCTAATAAATGACACTGGAGAAGAAAGTACTTGCTCTTTGCCTGCTTGCCCTCACTCTTGATGGCAAGTTCATTTCTTCCCTGGCATTAGAGCATACCTCTTTGGGATTCTGGAATATACGGAAGGCCAGTTGAGATATCCAGCCTCATAGACTGAACAGCTGCTGTTGATAGACAGTCATTGTTGGACTAGCTGGACCATTGCATGCCATTGTAATAACTCCCATATATATTATTTAATAGTATTCATATATATCACACACACATATTCTCTCACACACACATTCATTCTATTACTTATGTGCTGTGGGATAATGCTTTTGTACACTGGTTTAATAAAACTTTGATTGGCCAGTAGCCAGGTAGGAAGTATAGGTGGGATAAGCAGACAAGGAGAATTCTGGGAAGAGGAAGGCTGAGTGAGGAGACACCAGCCTGCTGTCCAGGGAACAGCATGTAATGGCACACAGGTAAAGCCACATAACATGTGGCGACATATAGATTAACAGAAATGGGCTGAGTTTAAATGTAAGAGCTAGTCAGTAATAAGCCTGAGCTAATGGCTGAGCAGTTATAATTAATATAAGCCTCTGTGTGTTTACTTGGGGGACGAGAGTGGGAGAGATTTGTCTTGACCACGGGCCAGGCAGGACACAGGAAAACTTCTGACTACAGTTCTGTTTCTCTAGAGAACTCTGGTTCTAGGATTTTTATGGAGGGTGTTTTTTTGTTTTTAACTATTAATCTAGTCGCTTTATTTGGGGTTTATTCAGATTTTTTGTTTCTTTAGTCAGTGTCTTAGTCACTGTTTTATTGCTATAAAGAGACACCATGACCATGTCAACTCTTTATAATAAAGCATTTAATTGGGCTGGCTTACAGTTTCAGAGGTATAGTGATATATTATAATATATCACTAATAAACTTATCTGGGGACCAGAGGACAGAAACAGTCACTAGATTAGACATAGAGGTCAGACAGTGGTGTCACATACTTTTAATCCTATCACTCTGGAGGCAGAGAGCCTCTGGATCTCTGTGAGTTCAAAGCCACACTGGAAACAGAGCCAGGCAGTGGTGGCACACACCTTTAATCCCATTACTTGAGATCTCATGCCTTTACTTGGGAAGCACACACACCTTTAATCCCAGGAAGTAATATGACAGGACACAGAAAGGTATATAAGGCGTGAGGAAACAGGAACTTGCTCTCTTTAGACTGAGGATTTCATAGAGGTAAGAACTAGTGGCAGGCTTGCTCTGCTTTTCTGATCTTTCAGCTTTTGCCCAAATATCTGGCTCTGGGTTTTTTATTAATAAGACTGTTTAGCAATTTGTGTTACACAGAGGTTTAGTTCATTATCATCACGGAGGGGAGCATGGCAGCATGCATGCAAACATGATACTGGAGAAGTAGCTGAGAGTTCTATATCCAGATCCTCAGGCAGCTGGAAGAGAGAGCCACTGTGCCTATCTTGGGCTTTTGAAACCTCAAAGCCCACCCCCAGTGACACAGTTCCTCCAACAAGGCCACACCTACTCCAACAAGGCCACACCTCCTAATCTTTCTCAAGTAGTTCCACTCCCTGATGACTAAGCATTCGAATATATGAGCCTATTGGGGGTGGGCTTTCTTGTTCAAACCACCACAGTTGGCTTTGCTAATTACTGTTTTCTTTTTTCTAGGAATTTGTCCATTTATCTAAATTAGAAGAAAAGAGTTAGTCATAGTAGTTTCCCTTGTAATTCTTTTCATTTCTAAAAGGTCTGTAATATGGTTCCATCTTCCATTTCTGACTTCTGTTTCATAAGCATGTTTAGCAATGTGAGTCTTTCTTGTTCGATGCCTGTAAAGGCTAATTGATTTTGTTTCAAAGAAATGTCTTCTGGGCTTTGGCGATAGTTCAGTTGCTAGCCTGCTCGCTAAGCACGTGTGAAGTTCTGTTTTCAGTTCCTCACACTGCATGTAAGAAAGGTGTCTGGGTAGCTGGAGAGATGGCTCTGTGGTTAAGAGCATTTGTTGCTCTTGCAGATGACCTGGGAATCAGTTACCAGCATCTAGATGGTAGTTCACAACCATGGGTAACTCCATTTCCTGGGAATCTGACATTCTCTTCTGACCTCTGGGGGCCCCAGGCACACAGGCATACAGGCAAAACACCCATAGACATAAAAATAAAATAAATAAATTATTTTTTCCTTAAGAAATGGGACTAAGATTAAAAAAAAGTTTTACTTACTTTTCCAAAAGGGTACATAGCCATGCCAAATCAAGCAGGTGAGCACAAACAGTAGGGGGTTTTGCAGGGGTTGGGGGGGGGGGAGCTTATTTATAATACAAAGAGGTTCTGGACCTCATGTTGAGTGGATAGTCTTGGCATCCATTCTTACACACTTGGCTGATTTAAAGGGATGTAGTTCCTAAGTGGAATGCAAATTTTAGCAGAAAGTGAAACTGAACACGTATTTGATTTTAAGAAGTGCTAACCCTGGAAGAATTTGAATTTCAGCCAAGTACCTTCTTCAGAAAATTATTTAAAATGGAGTTTTGTCTTATTTAACAGTTTGGTAGAAAAGTGTACAGTTTTGACTTGTGTAAGCACAGGGTGGTGCTGCAGCCCTGTAGTTCTACACTTGGAATTACAAGTGCACAGCTTGATGCCTGGCTTTTATTGCTTTTTCAGTGTGGGTTCTGAAGCTCACACTCACATGCGCAGGTCTGCACATCAACCACTGTGTCAGCTGGGGTGTCTTTTCAGCACTCGCTTTTATCAGCTTTGTTTTCTGTTGCTGTTGTTGTTGTTCTGTTCCTCTCACTGCCGTGGTGTGGTGTCCAGTGAATATTGTTCAGTGTAATGCTTGACCATCTTATTGTTATTACTATTATTGTTGTTGTTATTGTTGCCGTACTGGAGATTAAACCAAGGGCTTTATGCATGCTAGCAAGCACTCTGACACGTGAGTTCTATTTCCCACCCTCAAAACACTTCTTTGATGTCCAGTCTAATACTAGGATATTAAAGCCAGGAAACTGATCTCCATTAAGTCTTGTATTAAGTCTCTAAAGTGAGTGGATTCCTCTTTTCTCTGGGTTCTCACCATTTGCTAATACTGCTGGCTCTTCAGCAAATGAACTTCACAGCTATCTGTTAGTGCCTGTTGAGACCTTATGTAAGTCTCAGAGTAGACACCAGAGTTATTTCCCTGGAGGGCTTTGTAGCCTTGCTTCCGCACTAGAAGTACAATTATTCCTTAGGGATTAAGGGTAATACCCAATGAAATGACATTTGTTCTGTATAAAAGTCTGTGGAGGCTTTGATTATAAAATAAGTTTACCTACTATATCCTGATAAAGAGAGAACAGAATCTTTGAGTTTATTCAGACAGCAGTATATCTAGGGACTCAGTAAACACATTACTCCTCAATCCTGAGGGGTTGTTTAGTGAGTTTTCATGTCCTGAGCACCTGCTCCCAAATAACCAACATGGAGACTTAAGATTACTTATAAATGCTCAGCCAGTAGCTCAGGCTTGTTACTAGCTAACTCTTGTAACACGAATCTTAAAAGGTCTTATAATAAAAAACTCAGAGCCAGATATTGGGGTATAAGTTGAAAGATCAGAGAGGCAGAGCAGCAAGCCACTAGTTCTTACCCCTACAAAATCCTCCATCAAAAGAGCGAGTGAGTTCCTGTTTCCTCACACTGAAAGCCTCTGAGTCCTCACCCAAAAGGGTCTTAGTTTAACTGCTTAAAAGCCTCTAGTTCCTGGTCCTCAGCCTCAAGAGCGCGAGTTCCTGTTTCTTCATGCCTTATATACCTTTCTATGTCTTGCCATATTACTTCTTGGGATTAAAGACATGTGTCCTTCCCAGGCAAAGACATGGGATCTCAAGTGCTGGGATTAAAGGTGTGTGCCACCACTGCCTGACCTCTTTGTCTAATCTAGTGGCTGTTCTGTTCTCTGATCCCCATGAAAGCTTTATCAATCACAACCTCTTACATTTAAATTAACCCATATTTTTTATCTATGCCTTGCCACTTGGCTTGGTACTTTTTCTCAGTATGACATGTCCATTTTGCTTCTCCCAGCTTCTGCTTGTGACTTCTCAGACTCCACCCTTCCTTATCCCATCATTCTCAGTTTGGCTCTCCTGCCTAACTTTATCCTGTTCAGCTATTGGCCAGTCAGCTTGTTTATTAAACCAATCATCACACAGTGTACAGAAGGATTATTCCACAGCAACAAGGTCATTAAAAATATCTAATTTCAGGTGCCGCTCTCCAATCTGCTTTTTGTGCCACTCTCCTAAACACAGCAGGAGATGCCCTGCTGCCTCTGATGTGTTTGGGCCAAGGCTGAAGAGGCTGCCAAGAAGCTGTAGTTCAGGTTCTGGAAGATTGCAGTCCTGGCTACTTGACTGTGGAAGGTTTGGCAGGGCAAGTTTCCCACCAAAAAAACTTTTGTGGGTTGGTTAGTTATTTTACAAGTCAGTTTGACACAAACCTAGACATAGCTTGGAAAGAGGGACTTTTAATTGAGAAAATACCTCCATCAGGTTGGCCTGTAGGCCTGTATTATCTTGGTTAAGGATTGATGTGGGAGGGCCCAGCTTACTGTAGGAGGTACCAGCCTTGGGCAGGTGGTCCTAGGTTTTATAAGAAAGCAAACTGAGCAAGCCATGGAGAGAAAGCCAGTAAACAACATTCCTCCATGTCTTCTGCTTCAGTTTCTGCTTCCAGGTTCCTGCCCTGCTTGAGTTCCTGCCCTGGCTTGCCTGAATGATGAACTGTGAGTGGGACATGGAAGCCAAGTAAATCCTTACCTTCCAAAGTTGCTTTTGGTCATGGTGTTTACCATGGCAACAGAAAAGTAATGAAGACACTAGGTGAGTCCTGTTCAGGAGATGCCTGTTGATAAGCACTCTAGATAATTGCTGGTGACCAGAGTAATGAAGGAAAGAAAAAGGCTTCTCGGAACCTCAGTGACTTCTTTTTCTTTGTAAGAAACAAGGCCAGGGATGTCATCATAGACAGTTCAGTTTGTGGAAGGCGGTTGTTGACTCATATGATCCAATCATAGAAAGCGCTTCCCTAAAGTTGATCACAGTAAATGGATCAAGGTTACCATTTTGAACTTGCAGACAGTTGGGCAGGATGAATACCCCATTTTCCTCAGACATACTTCATAGCTATTGATCAATATATTTTTGTGGATTGTTGAAGTGATTAATGGATGTTACCTATGACAAATTGTTGGATGTGGTGGGGAAAGCACAATAAATATTTTTTTTAGAGACATGTGTATGGAAAGGGTGATCAGTTATGAAGAAGGGAAAGCTTTGGCAGAATCTGGGAATACTGCTTTTTTGGAATCCTGCAAAAAACTCAAAAAGGCAGCTGTTGGTGGTTTAGAGGGGGGACTGTAGGAGCCCCAGTGTTAGTGTGATATTCTGTAAGGAGTGAGAGTGGAGGCGGAAAGGATGGATGCGCAGCTCCATGAGGAAGTCTTCACGCTCTGTGATACATGGATTCTGCTGCTGAACCCAAAGATGGGCACTAGGCTCTACCTGGAGAGCAAACTGTGGTCATCCTTGAAAGTAACTGCCTCTTTTGCCCTCTGCTAATCTGAGTGATGGCGTTTGGGTAGAGCTCCCTCCCTTTCAGATTTTGTTAATGTCTGACTCTGTCCAAATGATTTTACTTGAACTTTCAAATTTTATTTCATTAAAAATTAATTTTTATTTATCTTCATTCTCTCTCTCTCTCTCTCTCTCTCTCTCTCTCTCTCTCTCTCTCTCTCTCTTTTCTCTGTATGTGTATGTATGAGTCTCTGTATACATGTGACTTGACATTGTGCAGAGGTCAGAGGACAACTTTTGGGGGTTGATTCTTTCCTTCTACTGTGGAATCTTGTGACCAAGCTCAGGCTGTAAACCAACATGAACAGAACTTTCTTTTTCACAAGTCACTTATTCAGTTTTTGTCTTTTACTTATTGTTCACATTCTGGCATTTTCACAGACAAAATTACTGATGATTTAATTGATAAATCATACTCATCACATTTACAAATGTAATATTCATGTTTACATTCTTAGTTTGGCTCAATAATCCATATAAAGCACAAACCGAGTGTCTCTACCTCCTGTTTCCTCACAGAGCTAACTCTGGGCAAGCAATGAGTATGAAATATGGAAGCATTTAGCTGGCCAGCAGAAGTTAAAAACAATTGTAATAAAACTTCCTATGGTGACATGTTCCTTCTGCATTTTATAAGGTGGTAAATAGAACAGATACATGGAAAAATCTCAAAGATTTGTCAAGCATACAAAAATAGTATACAAAGATGTGTGTGCGTGTGTGTGTGTGTGAAACCACAAAGAACATAAAACCAGATGATATGACAGAGTTATGGACAGTATTCTGTTGTGGAGATTGCATTTGACCTATTTCTTAGGTGTTAGTAATATATATGTACATACATCTATATACATATATATGTAAAGAGTTTGTCTTCTTTATGCCTAGAATGTTGAGATAATCAAGTATTTTAAGTAAAAAGATACATGAATGGAACCTTTATTCCTAATTGTATCAGGCAGGATGGATGGGTCGTTTTTACTACTTTATAAGTGAAGAAAGCGAGACATTATGATCCTTTAGCTAATTGTTACAGTCTCAGAAATCGGGTTTTCCAATTTCCAACCCAGTATACCTTGTTTCCCCCACAGTTGAATATTCATATGTGTATAAGTGAAAAGACAAAGTGTTATGTAGATATGATTCAACATCAGTCCTGTAGCTTAAGTTTTCCTGGCCCACAGTCAGGACAAATCTCTCTCACCTGCCAGTCCCACAGCCTCTCAAACCCGACCAAGTAAACACAGAGACTTATATTGGTTTCAAACTGTATGGCCGTGGCAGGCTTCTTGCTAACTGTTCTTACTGCTTAAATTAATCCATTTCCATAAATCTATACCTTGCCACATGGCTCGTGGCTTACCAGCATCTTCACATGCTGTTTCTCATCGTGGCGGCTGGCAGTGTCTCTCTGACTCAGCCTTCCACTTCCCAGCTTTATTCTCCTTCTTGTCCCGCCTACACTTCCTGCCTAGCCAATGGCCAATCAGTGTTTTATTTAATAACTAATCAGCAACACATTTGACAAAAAGACCATCCCACAGCACAGTCCAGCTGGGCAACAGACAGTGTCATGTGCTTCTGGTAGGGACTTCAAGACTTTTTCTTTTTTGACCTCCTGTTTGGGTCTCAGAGCAAATAAATATTAAAGATCTTGATACCCTGCTAAATGGAAAAGACACCACCTGATTGCTGGCTCCAGCCCTGGGTCTTGCATTGTCTCAAGAGTGAAGCCAACCGTCGTGTGGATTGCACTTGTTCTGAGGACCACACATTTTCTCTGTTGATCAAAAATGACTCTTAGAATTTTCCTCCAGTTACTTTCCATGCTAATCCCCTTCGTCCTCATGGCCCTCACTCTAAAGCTTCTGGTAATGACTTGTCATTGCTGCTGACCTCATCTCTGAGTGGGAGGAAACAGTGTGTGTGTGTGTGTGGGGGGGGGGGGGAGATAAAAGTCGAGGCTTATACCAGATCAGATGTCATCCTGGGCAACTCAGCATGGTTGCTATATGCGTTAGAAAAAGGGAAGAAACACAACTTTTTAAGGCATTGGTGGCCTCTGCCTATGTGCCCCACCCTCCATAAGAGTAAGATGGAAGGAAATGCTATAGAATAAAAAGATGGATGGAAATCTGATGTGCCTTTAATCCCAGGCAGAGGCAGTCAGATCTCTGTTAGTTTGAGGCCAGCTGGTATACATAGCAAGTTCCAGGACAGCAAGTTTAGAGAGACCCTGTCTCAAAAATAAATAAATTAAAAGAAAGATGAATGGAAGTCCCCCTTCATTCCATGGATCACAGGATCATAGAGTGAGGCAGGAGACTTTGGAGTTAGCACTGTCCTGTGTTTAAAGTGGGTCACTAATAAACAGGGAGTGGCAGCCTCTCAGATCTGAATTCTAATGGGTGTTGATCACCTTGGACTTTCATGTTATCACAAAATAAACAATACATGGAGGTGTGTTATGGCAGGCCACCAACTGGTCCTTTTAAGTCTGTTGTCATAAGAGGGCTATGCTGCTATCCCAGCTTAGCAGAACAGAGGCAAGCAAGGGATCTTAAGATCTTACATGCAGGACATGGTACAGCCTGAATCCAACAGTAGACTACTGTTGGAAAGGATCTTGGGGACATGCTGTAGGCTAGCCCCTCTGTTTACTACACAGAGGACTGAAGCCCCCTGAGAAACGAAGTGACTTGTTTAAGGCTACAGGCTGAGTGTACTGTGGCGGGGAGCCCCACGGTTTTGACTCTCTCCAGGTTCCTTTCTTCACAGCGGTCCTGGGGAGGCTGGGAGGAGCAGAGCTCGCTTTGCGCTGAGGCTGGGGGATCAGTCTTTCCGGGGCGGTCCCTAGCGGCGGTGCATTCCAGAGTCATCCGTGTGGCGCGTGGAGTTCTGAGCACGCATCCCAGCCTCTGTTGCGCGCTCCCGGACTTGGGAGCCCGAGCATGTTCCTGGCGCCAGCAGAGCTGAGGTTCCAGAGCTGGGGTAGCTTGAGGCTGCTTGATCCCCTGCGATCCTGGGGACCTGGAAGAGCACCGGTTGCTGCTTGTAAAGCCTAAGTGTGGATCGGGATCGGATCGAGGGTGAGTGAGACTGAAGAGTGTCTTTTGTGGGGCTCTCCCGATTGGAGACTGCCCTAGCGTAGCCCTTACCGGGTGTTCTCTCCTGCCTCGGTATTTCTGAGTTTCTTTTCCCCACCCTTGTCCCTTACCTCCGCTGTCAGTCCTAAGTTCCAGCCACCTTTTGCCCACAGCCTTGGGCCTCTTAGCAGGCCGTGGCTTGGGTGGGTGAACCCTGCCCACTCGCAGATGGCTACTCAAGGGTTTCCCTGCTCCTGCCTTTTCGTTCTACCCCAGACACCGCAGCTCCTGCTCGCTGCCCGGGCTGGGCGTCCGAGCTCAGCGCCTGAGCCCCGGTGCTCCTGAGCACAGCGCAGGGTTTGGGCAGCCCCAGAAACAACAGATCATCAGAGTCCGGAATATCTGGAGCCGGCAGTTGGTCCTCAGGACTGCTGGGTTCTCGCCTAGGTACTGCCTCCGGTTACTTCATCATCGTCTCAGTGAACTGTTTAGTCACAGTGGAATGGGGAAAACATCCTTCCAGACTAGAAGCAAATGAAAACACAGTGAAAGTATCTTTGAGAGGGACCTTTCTTCCAAGCTCCCTCTTCCAGGTTCTCTGATGTTAGAACTTAGTTTCTGTTTGACTGGTTCCTTCGTACCCCTCAGCCCCTCTCCAGTTCTTTGAGTGTAGGGACAGTCCGTCAGTCCTCGATTCTGAGGCATGCCCAGGACCTGGCACGGGGCCTGTTAGATAGTAGGTGCTCCAGACAGTTCACTGAGTAAAGGATAGAAGGTACGAGCCATCAAAATCTGTGCAGATGTCAGGAAGTTTTCTGATCGACTAGTCTAGATGGGCTTTTATGTAGCCCTGTGTGTGTGTGTGTGTGTGTGTGTGTGTGTGTGTGTGTGTGTGTGTGTGTTTCCGTGACTAGCAGAATCCTGTGGCTGTCAGTTCTCTGGTCTGCGGGCAGACAGTGAATACTAAACTACTCAAAGCCCAGGGCTGCTACTAGAGCTGCTGTCACTCACCTATGAAAGATCACCAGAGCATCCTCTGCGATCTGCTGAGCCACTCAGTGGGTAGTCTGAGAGAACAGAAAGCCCCCCTAGGGTGGAATGGGAGGAGCAGTTTTCTGTGGAGCAGGAGATCTCAGAATCACCAGGACTGGAGCATTTCCCTTCTCTGTACCCAGTCTTCCTCATATGTCAAATGAGGAAGTCAGTGGGCCAGATGCCTATTTGTCTGTGGTGACCAGAGCCTGTGTTCTTTGGGTTGTGTAAGATACTCACCACTGTCTGAAGGCACACAGAAAGCCCAGCTGAGTTTGAGGCTGTCACAGACTTCTGTGGTGAGAACTGAAAAAGTCACAAAGCCACCCTGGGGTTGTGAGTCACACTGTAGGGTGACAAGTCGTGCTATATGGAGTCCCCGAAGCTGACCCCTCAGAACCTCACTGTGGGCTCTGTTACACAGAAAGTCTGGGGATTTCCCCTCCTTCCCTTGGTGTGGCTAGAGAACTCTGTGAAAAGCTCTAACAAGGTGTCAGAGAGACAAACCAAAGTGCAAACCCGGTGGCTGGGTCAGATGCTGGACCCCAGAGGGTGACAGGACAAGGCGGTAAGGGGCCAAGGCAACCTCAGGTGCTTTCCAGCTCTGCTGTGATCTCATCTTAAAAACCTGCTTCTCTTTCTTACGTATGGATTAAAGCATACAAACTGTGTCTCCAAGGAAACAGGATCTTTGTTTTGCTTGACCTTACACTGGTTTTACTTCTAGTACATTATAGGCACCAGTAAACTCCCCATTCCCATAGTTTATAGGAGTGTGGTGTTTTAAATAGAATGGCCCCCATAGGCTCACATATTTGAATACCTTGTCACCAGGGAGTGGAACTGTGTGCGAAGGATTAGAAGGATTAAGAGGATTGGGGTAGGTGTGGCCTTGTTGGAGGAGGTGTGTCACTGGGAGTGGGCTTTGAGGTTGCAAAAGGACAGGCCCAGTGTCTCTTTCTCTCTCAGCTACTGCTCCAGCAGCATGCCTGCCTGCTTTCCACCATAGTGACTATTGACTCTGGAACTGTAAGCTAGCCCCCAGTTAAAGGCTTTCTTTTGTTTTATAAGAGTTGCCTTGGTCATGGAGTCTCTTCCCAACAATAGAACAGTGACTAAGACAAGCATAGATGCTGACATCACTGCCCTTGTGATACCGCAGCCCCCTAGCCAGCCACATATTCTGAATGATGGAATGATAAGCCTACTTGACGTTGATTGGTGCTCACTGTGATACAGGCATAATTCTCAGCTTTTCCACATACTCTTTCATTTAGTCTCTGCTATGATCCTGTTAGGGAAGGACTGTCATTCCTTCCACTTAATAGGTGAGCAAACTGAGCTCCGGTCACACAGGAAGTCAGTGGCACGGTACAGTGTGATACTGATACCAGACAATCTGGCTTCAATATCAAGCCTTCAAACTTCTCCAAACCCTGAAGAAATGGGGATCAAATCTTGCATTAACTGCAGGATGACATGGGAGAAATTAAGTGAGAATTCATCTGCCAGAATACTTGTGGATCACCAGGGACCCCTAGATCCCTTAAAGTTCTTTTTGGAGGTAGGTGAACCTCAGGAACGACCAGGATATTAAAGGCTAAGTGCAGGGTAGCCAGGACAGGGACCAGATCAGAATTAGAACTGCCTGCACATTAGATAATAGCAAGCCTGATTCAAACTATACCCTTACAACTTTTGTTGTCTATAGATAGAGCTTCATTATCCATTGATTTGGATTCTGTTGCCTGACTGGATATGACTTGCTATACAGGATCAAGGTAAATGGAGTAGCAGAGGGAGGAGGAGAAAGGAGGAAAGTAAATTATACTTCCTGAACTAGTTTGAGTCAATAAGAAGTGTCTGGCCTGTGTTGTTCCTCTTGACCCCTACCCCAGGCAGACATTGCTAATCAGCATGCTGCACTTCACCTTCTCAGGTCCCCAAACTTTAACTCAGTGTTGAGGCTTCCTTCTTGGTCTCCTAGACTTCATTTAATTGCTCTGAGGTATGATCAAGGACGTTAGAAGTGACAAAACAAGAGCCCTATCTGTCACCTTCAAAGATAGCACGGGACTTTTGAAATGATTACCCTTTGTCTTTTAATTTTATTTTTAAAATTTGAAAATTACTAAAAAATTTATATTGGGTTACCTAAGGCTATTTTCATGCAGGTGTATATTGTATTATGGCGCATTGTCTCCCACACTCACTGTCCTCTCCTTAACGCCCCCCCCCCATTTCCTTTGTTCTCTGGGGCAGCTTTGCTTCCACTTTCAGATCCTCTGTGCACGTGTAATGTATGAAGTCCAGTCCACAGATGAGAGGACACATGTAATTTTCGTCTTTAAAGCATTTTATTTTTATTTGTTTGTATATGTGTCGGTGCACATGTATGTGGGTGTCTCGGAGCTCGAGTTATAGGTAGTTTTGAGCATCCTGATTTGGGTGCAGGGAACTGAACTCAGCCAGGTCTTCTGCAAGAACAGCAAGTGCTCTCAACTGCTGAACTGTGTCTCTAGCCCCTGATCCTGGTCCTTCCGAGGTTGGATTAATTCACTTAATATGATTATCTCCGGTTGTATCATACTTTATTTGTTATTTCACTCTTTTCTGTATTTTTATTAATGTTCTTCAACCGTAGACCATCCTGGAACGGGGTGGAGCAGAACGGTGTGGGTGGTAGGATGGCAGCAGCAGGCACAGCCAGCCGTTTCCCAGAGCAGGCCAGACCCTCAGAATTGATCTGGTTCTTCATTCCTAGTTGTGACTGATACCAGAACTGAGGTGCAAGCAAAAAGAGGAATTTGCTTAGGAGCTAATTGTGCACGTCAATAACTTGCCGTATTTAGAGCTGGGGAGATAGCTCACGGCTGAAGTGTCTGTCAGGCAAGCCTGAGGGCCTGAGTTCGATTCCCAGAATCCATGTGAAAAAACTCGGGTGTGGTGCTGTGTGCTTATGATTCCAGCACTGGGGGATGGGGTGGGGTGGGTAGGGAAGGGGAGGTGGAGACAGGCAGATCCTGGAGGCTTGCTGTGTACACGCTTGCACGCACAGTTACAAATCTGTGTATGTATACACAAAATTAAAAAAAAATAGAAAACAAGGCTGGCCAGATGGTTCAGCTGGTAAAAACAGTTGCCATGCAAGTCTGGTGACTTGAGTTTGAGTCTAGGAATCCACTGTAGAAGGAGAGAACAGACTCCCCAAAGCTGCCTCTGACCTACACACGTGCTGTACTGTGGCATGCTCATTCCCTCCCTGTCCTCACAATGAACAAAAATGTAAAGACTGAGTTGCAAACAACAACAAGAACAACAACCCCCACATCCTCCAGACCCAATTTATCAGACTTAAATTTGGCAGCTTTGAACACTTATTCTGGGAGAGCTCCATAGGTCGGCATCTGTCTGGGTGTCATGAGAGTAAAGTCAGACATCGTGGGGTTGCCATTCTTGAGGCTGTAGGGTAGTTTCCTTCTTGGAGTTGTTGGCAGAATTCACTCCCTTTGGTTGTGGCCCAAGGTCACCATTTTCTTTTGGACTGTAAACAGAGGGCCTCCCCCTGCTCCTGACAGCTGCTGCAGTCTTGGGCTACCGGCTGCCTTCTTCATTCAAACCAGCAATGAATCAGTCCTTCCCACAGCTTTCTAACCCAGTGGCTCTCAACCTATGGGTCTCAAGCACAGGATGACCGGCCCTTTCACAGGGGTTGGTTGTTTAAGACCATCGGAACTATCAGATATTTACCTTATGGTTCATAGCAGTAGCGAAAATATAGATATGAAGTAACTACGAAAATAATAGTAGTAAGGGCACCGCACTATGAGGGACTGCACTAAAGGGTTGCAGCCTTCTCTAGCCTTCCACGTGACTTTAGCGGTTCCTGTGATAGGTTGGGTCTAGCTGGATATTCCAGGGTGCTCTCTCGGTCACAGCACCCTTAACATGAACCACATCCACAAACCCTT